TCCTCCTATGAACACACCTCTCGATTCTTACAAACACCCTGGGGCTAGTTTTTAACCTTATGCTTCTTGTGAACACCAGTGTCAGGATATGTTCTTATGTATCTTAAATAAGCTAACAGAACAAATAGTGGTGGGCTCCCACTGCTTCTCATGCCTTCAGATTCTGTTTTCTCCCTTCCTCCTCTCTTCTATACCAGGGTGGGATAAAAATATCAATAGGATCTCAGAAAAGAAATTGGCACTATTATTCCTACCTTCATAGGGTTTTACCTGGGCATGAACTTTGTGAGTTTCAAATAGCATCACATCCTTCCTAAATGTTTTTTTCACTTTGAATATATACATATATAAATTCCTTCTTCTTCATCCATGGTATCTTAGCTCTTTCTTTGGCAGCTGCTCTTTACATCTCTGCTCTGCCGTATGGCTTCCTTCCCTGGCAATTTCTCTTCTTTGCTCTTCCTTTTTTTTACCTCCTTTCATTTTTTTCTTTCTGCCCTTATCTTTTTTTTTTTTTTTAGTATTTCCTGATATACCATCCTCTACTTCAATTCCTTGCTTAAAGATTGAAGCAAGGGAAGGGCAGTGTGGTGCCATGGAAGGAGCTCTGAATTTGGAGACTAAATTATTATAGACTAGTTATTTAGTTGAGCTTGGGCAAGTCTCAAATGTCTCTGGGTTCAGTTTCCTCATCTATAAAATGAGAGGTTGGGCTAGGTGACCTCTCAAGTCCCAACTAAACAGGAGAGGAGCAGATGACTGGCTCCTAGGAAGCCTTGAGGATTGTGGACTCAGACAGCTTGACTTGTATTGCCAAGAGCTTGGCAATAAGTGACTGGCATTCTCAAAGGTGCTTCCATAAGCTCACCACCATCATTGCTGATCCTCAAATGTGACTGGATGGGGTGGGGCAGAGGCGCCGGGGTGATAGTACTACTGTTGCTGTCACAGCCCCACTTATAGGGATTCACGTCTGAAGGCTTAGGTCTCCTTGTGCTCCCACAAGGATGTGTGAGGATGACAGTGAGGGCAGAAATTTGCCATTCAGATATAGGATTTGATGAAGCTGGCTCATCATAGCTTTATAAATTTATTATTGTTTTGTGGAGTCAATGGGTGGGGAGAGGGGCAGATCAGAATTTAAGGCACAGTCTACCTCCTTGGCACAGTTTTACACTGAGTCTCTACACACTCCCAAGGGGCTACTGACCCTGGCTTTTATGTATCCTAATTCTCTCAGACTTGATAAACACTGGTTCTCCCCCCCCCCCCCGCCACGTCAAGTCTAAATTTATTCTGTTTCTGCCTCTGTCTCTCCAGATGAGGACTGGAATGAAACAAGATACATATAGACCATCTAAAAGTTAACATGAGGAAGATTACCTAGCAATAGCACGAGAAGGATATTCAGCAGGGACATAGCATTGATTTAGTTGGGCATAAGAGGCTGCTAGGTGGTGCCATAATGCACAGAGTACTGGGCTAGGAGTCAGGAAGATCTGAGTTCAAATTTGATCTGACACTTACTAGCTGTATGAGCCTGGGCAAGTCATTTAACCTCTGTTTACCTTAATTCATTAGAGAAGGAAATGGTAAACTCCTCCGGCATCTTTGCCAAGAAAAACCCTTGGACAGTACTGACATGCTATAATCTATAGGGTCACGAAGAGTCAGACACAATTGAACAAAACACAAGTTGGGCATAGGTGTCCTGTCCACATTTGCCTTGTTTTTGCACTGGTCAGAAGCCTGTGTCAAGCCTGAGGGAAGAACCCCTCGATGCCTCATGGGCTGACTTCATGCTTAGGGGATCAAAATCCTTAATGATTCAGTTCTTAGACAACTGATCCTATCAAGTCTCAGGAAAATTTCAATACCTTTTAAAGAAAAGTTTGCCTACTTAGTATGGAGTACATGTTGATTCTTCCATGGATTTGAACTAGGGTGTTCCTTACTCCAAGTCCATCATTTTATTAACTGTGCCATCTAGCCGCCTAAATCTATGATCCTATGATCTATAATAATAATCATAATAATAGCTGGTATTTTTATAGCACTTTAAGGTTTGCAAAGAACTTTACAAATATTATTTCACAACATCCCTGTAAGATAGGTATTATTATTATCCCCATTTTGCAGATGAGGAAACTGAGGCAGACAGAAGTTAAGTGACTTACCCATGGTCACACAGCTAATAAATGACTGAGGCAGAATTAAAACTCAGGTTTTTCTGGCTAGAGACATTATCTCAATTGTTATCAATATACTATATTTTATTATATAAATAATATATAATATATAAATATGTAATATATAAAATTTATATTATATGATATTGTATGATATGATATTATATTTTCTGACTCTAACCAAGTCCAGCATTCTATCTGCTGTGGTCTGGCTTTCATATCTATGATTCCATAGTAAACTTCATTTCAATCCCTCTTGCTTATCCTCCCCATGGTGCGATTAAAACGATTGATTTGAGGCATCCTGAAACAGTGATGCTGTGCAGTAAACTAAAGCTGCCCCATTCCACTAGAAGTTCCAGTGGGAGCACTTCTGAAATAACGCTCCAGGGAAAAGATGCCGTTTAATATTGGTTAACATTTATTTAGAGCTTACTATGTGCCAGGCACTGGGCAAAGGCGCTTTAGAATTCTCTTCTCATTTTATCCTCATCAAATTGATAAAAAAATTAAGTCAGGTAGAGATGAAGTGACTTGCCCAGGGTCACACAACAAGAATGTGTCTGAGGCCCTATTGCTGCTGTGGTTGCTTGTCCTTCATTCTCAAAGAGGACACAAGGACTTCTTGCTTGTTTGTTTCCATAGCCTCACCTTACAATGAACTGGTACTTTCTAGTCTTTGCTGCCAATGTGATGCATAACCTTGAGCCGGCTCCTTGAGCTCTCCAAGTCTCAGTTTCTTTATCCATAAAATAAAAGGCTTGGACTAGATTATCTCTAGGCTCCTTCTGCCTCTAAGATTCTTTTCTCCCCAGTCTGTGTCATCCCTGGTATTCTGTTCTATTTAAATGACCCCAAGGGGGTAAAAAAAAATCAGGAGAGGATGAATTAAGGACAACTATAAATGGAAACAAAGCCAGGGCAGTAACATGATGTAAAATAATAATTTAGAGAAAGAATGAATGTGGTCTGGCCTGCCAGTTTTCTTTGCTGAGTACTCCAATCCCCAGTAACACTCTGCAAGTACAAAAAAAAAAAAAGAACCAGGATTTAACCAGCATGCCCCCACTGCCTTCCATGTGTGCTTTTGAAATGAGCTGGGTTTTTTTTTTTGTTAACTAAACAAACAAAATCCCTATCTCTGCCGCCTCAGAGTCATAATGACAAGTAGGGAACAGTGCTGTCACTCAAGGCTGCCAAAACAAGGGGGAAGATGGAACACAAAAATAAATCAGCCAGTGATTATGCTGAAGAAAATGATCCCGTTAGAGAAGTCATTAAAGGAAAGTCAATGCTAGTCTGTAAATACTGTCACATTATTACGCCACTGAAAAACACGACCTCCTGCAATGTGCATACACTTAATTACTTTAAAAGCCTTAAATTTAAGCACTTGGTTTTGTACCATTATTGGTTTATTTTTGTCAACTAATCAGTGCTCAATGGGGAAAAAAATCATATGCTACTACCTCCTACTAAACTTCATTTCCGCAAAACTTGAATGCAAATAAGCCACCATGTGCTGTTATTCAGCATTTCTGTAATGGGTCAAGGAATCAGGCAAAAGATGCTGCTACCTGTGTGACCTTGGACAAATCACTAACCTCTCTGATACTTATCTTCTTTGTTTATAAAATAAAGGAGGTTGAGCTAGTGATTTCTAAGGTCTCTTATGACTCTAAATAAATCTAGGCTCTTAAAATGTAGAGAACTATATAGTGTGCTGTGGAAACACATATTGGAAAGGTCAGGGTAGTATGACCCTAAAAGGTAAATTACTTATTAACCTGCTAGACTGTTGTAATTTTTCTAAGTGTAAAAGAGAAAAAAAAGAAAACAGTTTTGTATACTTCTAACTTCCCTTTCTGAAGTCCAAATCCTCAACTTATACTTCTCTCACTTATTAACTATTTGACCGTGGCAAACCATTTAATGTCTCTGAACCTGTTTCTTCATCTGCAAAATGAGTCTACTAATAATTGTAGAATCTGTTTCACCAGACTGCTGTGAGGCTAAAATGAAGTTTTTATACATATATATATATATATGTGTGTGTGTGTGTGTGTGTGTGTGTGTATGTTTATATATGTATATATGTGTATATGTATATATGTATATATGTGTATACATATGTATGTATTTATGTATGTATGTATGTATATATACTTTGCAAAATAGCATAGTATAGTGGAAAGAGTTCTAGATTTGGAGTCAGAAGACCTGGATCTAAATCCTAGCTATTCTGTTTGCTACCTGTGTGATCCTATATACTTCATTTAATTTTTTCTGGGCCTCAGATTCCTCATTTTTAAAATAAGGATAAAGTTCCTGCAAAGTACCCTTTGACCTTAAAATACTATATGAATGTCAGATATTATCAGAGTGCAGAGTAACGGGGGCGTTGCCCCAGATTACCAAAAGTTAGAGGGTTTATATGAGCTATTCTAGTTCTTCAGCAGCATGGAAACAACTGAGCATAAAACCTCATTAGCAAGAATAATTAAAAATGACCTATCAGATAGCAAGTCACCGCTTTCCAAGTAAATTTTGAAGGTTTGGTCTAAGCTCCTTGCTCTGACCACCTGCCCCGACTACAAATATTGATGGCTTTGGAGGTGGTCGTTTTTTTGCTCTTAATGGTGATTTGTTGCTGTTGTTGTTTTTGTCATTGTCATCTTTACCATTGTTTTTACTGCTGTTACCGTTGGCAATGCTGTCATTGTTATCCATGGGATCTTAGAGCCAGAGCTAGAAGGGACCTCAGAGGCCATCTAGTTCCACATTTCATTTTACTGTCCATTCCTTTTACAGATGAGGAAATTCCATTTCTGTGTGACTCAGTTGCAAATAACACATTTTGAGCTGTTTTTGATCATTTCCATAATCAGTCAAAGAATCAGCCAAAAGATGCCGCTTACTACTTGTGTGACCTCGGATAAGCCACCTAAGGATGTCTACGCAAGTTTGCAGAAATGGTCTGTCTCCATTCTCTCCTCTTTTATTCCCAATTGTTCTTCCTTTTTTTTTTTAACCTCAGATATTCCACAACAGTTTGGGTGCCTCCATTGAGGGGAGAAATAAAGAGATTAACTCTGAAGGCCTTATTGAATCCAGCTGCCCCAGTCGTGATCTGCCATTTGCCAGATTTGCATTAAATGCATTATGTGCTGAGCTCAGCCTCCTAGGGTTTACTTGGGCCTGCCCAGGCCTGTCGCTCAAAGTTAGCATTCATGGTGACAAGTTGTAACACAGCTTGATGTAATGTTATTACACCCAGTGTCTGGGAGGCATGAGTAGGAGAAAGACCACAGCCTACTTCTTTGCTTTAAAAGCTACCCAATTCCTAGAATTCATACAAATTTATTATAGCAGATGAGAGGGAAAAACTGGCTTGCCAGCGCTAATGATTCAGCATATCTCAAGTTAACTATATCTGTTAACAGAGGTAATCCTTGTTACAAGCCAAATGCAGACAAATCATGTCCAATTTTTTTTTTTTTAGTGAGAGGCCTAACATAGAAGAGAAATAAGCTATTTTGCCATGTGGTCTCAATTCACAAGAAAAAAAAAAGATCGAAAACAACTAGATGACTTCATATAGTCTAGTAATGTTAAAAATATTTTTTTTCCTTTAAAGTTCTGTGGATTTCACTGGTCCCTGCTTCATGGCTGACACTTCTGATGGTAGCCAAGAGGAAGGTCTCCAGGGATTTCAGCTCCAGCTGAGTGATGTGTTTTTAGCTCCAGATTGGCAAGCTGTTGGAACGGCAGGCTTTGCTTCCGAGCAAGGCTGAGGAGGTGTTTTGGGGAGGTAGCAAAATTTTAAAAGGTTTGGCTAGTCTGTGTATATGTGTTTGGGGCGGTATCTCTTTTGCTTCCCGAGAATGCTACTCTATATCATCTTTGTAAAAAAAAAAGATATTTGTTGTTGGCTAAATGTTACACTTGACATGCTTAGCAAGAATCACCATACACTGTTACATGCCACGTGCAGTGAGATGATGCTATTTTTAGGGCAGCCAAAGGGGAGAGGGAATCACAGAAGGGGGAGTACATTTGATATGCCTGTCCCTTCTCTGAGAAGGTCACGTCTAAAAACACACTGCTCTGAGGGCCAGAATTCCCTGGTGCTCCTCAAACAAGCCCCTCCTCAGCTGGAAAATCCTCTGGAACTCTGTAAATATCCTCGGCAGCTTCACTCCTCACCATTCTCCTTTCCACCAATTATCCTAAAGATTGGCTTTTTTTTTTTTTACTTTTTAGGGTGGGGCTAACTTTTGCAGCAGATTTAGGAAGGAGTAAGAAGAAATCTGACCAAGACTGAAATCTATGTGTATATGTTTGTGTGTCTGTGGGATTTATGAGCATAGTTGGAACAGAGGGATAGAAAGAAACATTTAGAATGTTTATTGTAAGCAGTGGAGGGTTTGGGGAATTGGGTAATAATAATAATAACTTAGAGGCAGCCATGGCAAAGTGGTTAGAGGACTAGCTTTGCAATCAGATACACACACACTGGCACTTACTTAATGAGTGATCCTGGGCAAGACGCTTAAAAGTTTTGGTGCCCTTGGCCAGAGGTGGCAAAGACTTCCAGGGTCACAGTGTAGCCCAAACCAGATTAAAACGCAATTGGGAAATATTTCACAAAATGAGTAAAAATACAATAAAACATAGATAACATTACATTAGGCAGCTAGGTGGCACAGTGGATAGAGTATCAGGCCTGGAGTCGGGAAGACTCATCTTTATGAGTTCAAATCCAACTTCACATACTTACTAGTTGTATAAACCTGGGAAAGTCATTTAACAGTTTGCCTCAGTTTCCTCATCTGTAAAATGAACTGGGGAAGGAAATGGCAAACCACTCTGGTATCTTTGCCCAGAAAACCCCGCCAAGGGGTCATGAAGTGTCGGAGGTGCGGGAAGAACAACAAATATTACATTTTAAAACTAAGTCAATATGTGACCTGCAAGAATCTTTAGATATAGATACTTTTCTCTCTTTTCTATTTGAGTTTGACACTTCAGCCTTAGGCAACTCTTTGAGACTATAAATTACAGAGAGGAGGCCAGACTTCATGGGTAGAGAGAGTTTCCTTACCAGGAGTTTCCCATTTCAATGAAATCACAGGTCTGGTCTAAAACATTTGCCAAGTACTGTGTTAAGTGCTGGGGTTAGAATCCATAAAAAGAAAGACAGCCCCTGCCCTCAAGGAGCTTATAGTCTAAAAAGACAGACAACACAGAAAAGGGAGCGGGAAAATGGGGGAAGGGAGGCAGGACACCAGGGGTACCCAGAGTGAGGAGAGCTTGTTTTGTGCAGTTGTGTGGAGGTGATGGGGTGCTTGGGTGCTTGGGCTTGTACTTGTACCCCAATTTCTCCCTAGCCTCAGAAACACTGACTCTGACAACCACTCCCTAGCCCAGGACACTGTGCCTAGCAGTTATTCATGCATGGGCCTCAGCATGACCCTTATCTCCCTCCCTGGTACAGCTACACAGAGCTGGGCTGCTGAGGCTCCAGCCCTCAGATCATATCTCTGGAAGCCTCCCAATTCCTTAGTAAGTTCCTGTCTTGTGAGATAGCTTTCCCTTGTTGCAGAACATTCTCTCATCAAGATAGAGGGAGACGAATGCCTTGCCCAGCCCGAGGAGTTTTGTTCTTGGCCAGCCCAAGGACTCTTCCTCCTGCCAGACTCCAAAGATCCATACCTCTGTCATCTCCCACCCTGTCCGGTATACTCCCTATATTTTCCTGTCTATAGCCCCTAAAGATACCTGCACCTGTGGATTACCTCATCAGTGTCCCTGGCATTTCTTTCCCATGCTCTTTTCCATGTAAACCCTAGCTGTGTTCTCAGTCTCTCACAGGAATCCTTAAGAATCCTTGCCCGCTGAAAAGCGTAACAATAAACTTTGCCACCTTGAATTAAAGAATGCTTGAGTCTGTGAATTCATTCCAGATGACCCATCCTGTATTCCAGTCTTTGAGGGGTCACAACCTCTCAACTTCTCACACCCCAACAGAGTCAGAGCAGCAGATGCAAAGTGGAATGGGCCAAGAGTTCAGTTTCTGCCCTCCATCAAGGAAGGCACTGAGAGGAGTTGGGTACTCCGTCCTGCAGCCATCCAATCAGAGGGGAGAGGAGGCTGAGGGAAGTTGTATCAATCAAGGCTGAGTCAGCAGCCTGGTGATGAGTTTGGAAGTGATTAGCTTATCCTGGGAGGGAAGTTTTGGAGTTGTACTTTGCATCTATTATCTTATTTGACCTTCACAATAACCCTGAGGGGTAACTGGTTCAAACAGTATTATTCCCATTTTATAGATGAAGAAATTGAGGGTAAGTTGGCACTTGTCAGACCGCTTTCTCTTTGAAGCAGAATCATAAGAGTTTAGAACAAGGGTGGAGAATCTGCAGCCTCAAGGCCACATGTGGGCCTCTAGGTCCTCGAGTACAGCCCTTTGACTGAATCCTTTCGACTGAAACTTTGAAGTTTGGATTCAGTCAAAGAGCCACTTAAGGACCTAGAGGCCCACACATGGCCTTGAGGCTGCAGGTTCTCCACCCCTGGTTTACAGCCTAATGAGACTTTAGAAATGGTTTAGTCCAGCCCCGTCAGTTTGCAAATAAGGAAACTGAGACCCAGAGAGTGAAGTGACTCCATAAGGACACCCAGCCGGTTACTGGCAGATCAACATTAGAACTCAGATCTCCTTGATTCCAAGGCTACAGTGCCCTTTACATTGAGCCATACTGCCTCTTCATTTGGTACTCAACATCATTGCTTCCTTTTGTATAAACATCATCTACATAACACCAGAAGCTCCCTGAGGGCAGAAATTATGTCTAACCTTTGTATTCTCCCACAGCTCTGACTGCTGCGGGTTACGTTGCCTGCCTTTCACAAAGTGTAGGCCTGGTAAATTGCTTTAGTTAATTGATCGGATAGTTGGGAGAGCTTAAAATGCTGACATTTAATAAATACATGTTAAACAAATGAACGGCTGGGTTATTAAAATGTAATGAAAAGATTAACAAACTTGGAAGCAGAAGACTGGGCTCAGATCTTCACTCTACTATTTATTACCTATGAGACCTTAGACAAAGCATTTAACCTTTCATGACCTCCCTCAGTTTTCTCATTTGTAAACTAAGAAAGTTGTACTAGATAATCAGTAATGTTCCTTCCATTCCTAGCATTTAGTGATTTTGATGTAGGCTAATCACATTTGACCCCTTCCTGAAAAGAGACATATTCACAGAAACAGCCATGATGACTGGTATATTAATTAGGTACCAGAAGAAATGATAACAACCCTAAGGGGCATCACAGCTTGAATCAGTGGATTCATGAAGATCATGGATTTTGGCTTATCTGTGATTGACATATTTAGATTTTTTGGTGCCTGAGTGATTTATTTATTCCTGCATATAACATTAACAACTCCTGAGTTTATGGTCTACTTGAATTTTTCTTTAGACTTGAGCAGAGCTAAATTGCTTCCTGGCTTCCCTGATGTCCCATTGTGTCTCAGGATCAGGAACAGCTGGAAACTAGAGGTGGCCTTATCACCATTGTTGCTCTCATATCCTTGTTGTATCTCATTTCACTGCTTTGTTATGGTATCAATAAGTTGTGGTAGGGTAAGTTCATTAGGCATGATGGTAACGCCTTCAAATCTATAATTAAATCGGATTGAAAGGGAACAAAGAAAAAAAGAGTAAAGGAAAGAAAGGAATGAGAAATTGGGGGGGGGGGAGTGAGCTTTCTTTTTTGTCTACTCCCCAGGCAGTTTCATTGTTTTTTACATATGTGTTTTTTCCTCCCACTAAACTATGGGTTCCCTTAGGTCGGGAAAGATCTCTTAGTTAACCTTCCTACCTCTCCCAGTATCTAACATAGTATTCTCTGTGCAGTAGATGCATTTATTGAGTTTGTTGTCTTAGAAAACAAGGCCTTTTTATGAGAGTATTGCACAGGAATGTACATGGCTTTCAGTTAATAGCATTAGTGAAATAGTCTCTAAAGAAATGGTTAGTCTCAGATTCCCAAATCAGTTAGCCAAGGATAAAATGTTCTCTTCCAATTTTTTTTTAACAGTTAGAAATAATTTCAGCTTTTACTCCACTCTAGGCTTTACAAATCTTTATAACTATGTGAGATTTTCCTGGGATTCAGCCTCTGGCCTCTATATAAGTATTCGTTCATACTGCTGTGTCCTATTAGTAGTAGAGAGGGAACAAAAATTTTTCTTGTGTACTCCCTTGTGTACTCAATTCAATTCAATTCAAGACAAACTCGTTGATAGCCTACTATATTCAAGGCACTAGACTAGATGCTGGGGACACAGAGACAAAAATGCAACTCTCCCTGCCCCCAAGGAGCTTCCCATTTACTGCAGGAATCCAACACTTGCAGAAATAAGTAAATATAATGCAATCTGAGAAGAGAGAGGAGTAACAACTAGGGGGATTAGAAAAAGTTTTCCAGAGAAAGTAGCATTTGATATGAGCCTTAAGGAACATAAGGATTGTAAGAGGTCAGGAGAGAGACCATTCTAACCACGAGTAATGACCCAGACAAGAAGATGGAGATAAGAATTGGGATCCCAAATTCAAGGAACAGCTAATAATCTCCATTTGGCCAATACCGAATGTAGGAGGAGGGGGATAGAAATTGAAAATAATGCTTGGAACCCAGGCTGGAACCAGATTGGGAAGGGCTTTAAATTCCAAATTGAAGAGGTTATATTTTATGTTAGAGTTAATAGGGATGCTATTAAAGATTTTTGAGCAGTAGAGTAACAAGGTCAGACTTAGACCTTAGGAAGTCGAGTCATGTCAACAGGCGTTTATTAAGTACCTACTATGTGCCAGGCACATAGCACTGTGGATACAAAGAAAGACAAATAACAGTGCCTGCTTCCTAGGAGCTCACGGTCTAATACGGGAGACAACATGCAAATAATTATGTGCAAATAAACTCTACACAGGATAAACTGGAAAACACTAGCATTAAGGGGATTTGGGAAAGGCTTCTTATAGAAGGTTTTTAATTGGAACTTGAAGGAAGCCAGGAGGTGGCAATAAGGAGGAGGAGAATTCCAGGCATGGGGCCAGTGAAAATGCCCAGAGTTGGAAGATAGAGGATTTTGTTTCAGGTACAGCAAGGATGCTAGTGCCCCTGAATCTCAGAGAAATAGGGAATGAAGGAGAAGGGGGGAAGGTGTAAGAAAACCATAAAGGTAGGAAGGGGCCAGGTTACAAATGACTTTAAAAGCCAAATAGAGGAATTTATGTTTGATTCTGGAGGTAATAGGCAGCCTCTGGAGTTTATTGAATAGGACTGGGGGCATACACTTGATCAGAAGCTCACTTGGACACTGAATGGAGAATGGACTGAGTCTGGGTGTCAGGGGATGATGGAATATTAGGAAGATCATTTTGGCATCTGTCAAGAGAGAACAGCATAGCATAATGTGTTGAGTCTTCCTCTAATTCAGAGATACCTGGATTCAAGGTCTGACCTTTGATGCATATTGGCTCTCAGTGCTCAAATGGACCTGTTCAAGGTCCTCGATTTGAGTTCCCCTTCAAGGACACAAATCATAACCTATCCATACCTGTCCATCCTGTGTGTGTATCCTTGTCTAAATTCTTCCAAATGTCCGT